ATGACTTTGAACCGTTACTCTCATATGTCTCAAATGAGTTGAAACCACCAACCAGATACCTATCCCATAGACTCCATGTATGCCATAGACTCCATGAGGGATGTAGACTCTTGACTGATAAAGTCTTTGATTAGATGGTAAAACCTCTTCAAAGTCCGCGATTCTACATTAGTCATTTTGGGGGGAATTCTCCTGCGTTCCGACCAGTGGACAAGTGCTGTTCTTCAGGTTGCATCACGACCTGCCGTGCTGGTTCCCCTTTCCATCAGGCAGATTGAGAAACAATGGAATAAGAGATACTTTTGGATTGACAAGGTCAGTTCTCAGTGTGAAGTTTGCTTGGCGTTCCGCGCGCAAGAACATTCAACTCACACCAGCTGAGAAGATGCGTGAAAAAAGCGCTTGTTTGGTCACCGAGGAGCAGGCGGCAGAGGCCTATGAGATGACACTGGCGGTGAACACATATCCCCTACTCTTTCCTCAATGCATGCTGGCTTCCTATCCTGCAGAGGTGGGCTTCTTCACACCGGTGGTGTTTGTTTCGAGCTCGATGCTCCAGCTGTTGCGAGCCGGGCGTCACCAGGAGCGACAGCTCGGGTAACCCGTTCTTCCATGTTCTTCCGCGGAAATTCAGCAGGGAGCCGGGTCACTCGGAGCGACGACCACGGGAGGTCCCCAACATTGATAGCACTTACATTGTGATGCTGGATACCATGGGCTGGGCTGAAGCACTTGCTTCCGCACCTCCTCCAAATCTCTCACAAGTTCGAGGATCTCAATCAACATGCTCTCCCAACCTTCCGTGCCTTCAGAGCATTTCCAAGCTCGTGTTCTTGAGATACATAGTCCATTACAAGACATTCATGCTTTTCAAGTGCTGCTGCTTGGTGATGAAAAGGCCATGTTTGGTCGTCACTCACTTCCTCCACGACCCACCTCTATTTATCGCCAGGTGACCGAGGCGATCTTGCGTGGTGAGCTACCTGAGACCTACCACGGGAACCTCAAGGATCTCCCACCCTATGGCGAGGTGCTTCAGGTCTTCCTGCACTGGGAGCAACGCGACCCGCCCAAACCCAAAAATCCGACGAACTCGAGAGGGGGAGCGCGGTGGCGGGCGCTGGCGGGATTGAGTTGGATTGGAGGAGCTGTCTCCAGGTGTGAAGGAATGAGTTGATCATCGGGTGGTTGCGGAACCCCTGAGAACATTTTGGACATGGCTGTGGGTCAACACCAGTAGACCTGGGTTGACCGAAAACAGATTTCTGGAGGGTGCCCAGGTGCCCACAGAGAAGTTCGGACGGTTCCAATGATCTCTAGAGTGAATCTTTCAGATCGATTCCGCCATTTTCACATGCGTGGCAATGCCACCACTTACTTTGGGGGCCTTTAGGTGAAGTGAACTTTTCCATGGCATCAGCTCGGGATGGAACTTCCCGTCCAAGACTTGGTTTTGCTGCCCTTCAAGTCGATGGCCTCGTAAAACTGGATCATTGGAATTGGAAACTCGTGATCACCTATTACTTTCCGATGACCCCCAATTACTTGAAGGATCATCTTAAGGTTTCTTGACACCAGGTAAGGTTGTGCGATCGATTTCGTTCGAGCACGCTGGTTCCTATTTGCGAATTCCTGGAATAATGCCATAAAAATTGTAGATACGAACCACAAATTCCCTTTGTGCACCCACTTGTAGCCTAGCATTGTGGATTCCATGTTTAGCATTTTGTTGCTATAATAAGCAAATTAGCTACCGTGAGCCGAGCGTCCAAAACTGCCGATGACCTTCCAAAACCGTGAACCGAGCGTGAACCGGAATTAGTCCCCATCAAATCGGCAATATTGGGTCCTACGTCGATGGGGGTTGTCTCCCAATTTGCGTTAACGATAGTGCTTTTAAATCGGGATCCCCAATTGAATATGCATGGATGACCATCAGCTTTAGTGGCATTTCCTTGGCAAAAGATCAGGGAATAAGTGCTCAGTTGGAGCTGTCGTTGACAAATTGGCATTGCACAAAAACCGGTGCTGCAATAAAAGGGCGTTTTCCGATGTACTCGTAAAACTGGGTCGTTGGCACGTGACCTCGTTTAACTTGACTCCTGGACTTGCAGGGCTGTGTTTGCTTATATATCATAATATTGTTTCACGTATACCTGGACCCTCCAAAGTACCTTAGAAAATGGGACATGACCCCATAAAACAGGTAATTACTTGTACCCATTTTCCAAGGTACTTTGAGACTCCAGGTGCTTTGATTTGGCGGTTCCTGGCGTTTTCTCCCCGAAACTGGGGCCACGTTCCACTAAACCGTCAGGTGGACTTGGATCGATCTTCTCGCTGTGCACCCGGCCCCTCGGCACCTTTTGCCCCAGGCCTGGGCGACCAGGCCTTCTTCGGAGGCGCTGCGCCGCACTTCGGGGAGTTCTTCCTCTTCGCCGCACTGGACGCCCTGCGCCAGACGGATCCCAGCACAGCGGCGAAGGCGCCAGACGGATCCCAGGAAAAGTGGATAACCATGGATAACCTTTAATCATGAGTTGGGGCCGGGGGATTGGTTTCCCCATGTTTCCCCAATATCCAGAGTGTCTGCGGTGCCAACATGATGGCATGGGAGATGCGAACAGATGGAAAAAGGTTAACCCGTTTTCATGGGAAACTGACGGCGGTCACGAATTGAAACCCCATGGTGGCGTGTGCCATGTGGTGCTCGGAGTCCAGGCGGCCACGGCCACTCCGGAACGCCATAAAAATGTTCAGGTTGGACCAACAGAGGTCAAGTGACCTATTATAGGACCCTACAGAAGTACCTATAGGATAGTCTATATAGGGTTCCTCAACCTCTGTTGGGGTTTGGGTGTTTGGAACCTCTCGCCAGGTGGGCCGCCTACAAGCTTGGTACGATCGCATGGGAAGGCTGCCGGCAGTGGAGGGATATCTCCAAGCACGGCCCCCCATGGGCCCTGGAGCTCACGGGAAGCCTGGCAGTTTGATCCGCAAGTATCAGCAGAAGCTCGTCCTGAACTGGGAGGATGTGATGACTGTGATGGGTATAGTCATGAGATGTCATCAGGCTGCGGGTCATGACTCACTCTAGTGAGTGATGTGCTAAGTGGATCCAACATACCCGTATGAGCAATCGATGCATATGTGGAATTAAGATTTGCCTACATTAGGAGTGATTTTGACCCTAGAAGTCCAGTTCAACTAAATGCTGACCGAAGTGAAGAACATTCCTTGACTTGGGTCTATCTACCTAGCACTTCCTGTCCGGGTGCCCTGGAGTAGGAGACCTGTTGACGTAGGGTAGGGTAGTCAAACGCCAGGACACCCAGACAGGATGACCCTGGTAAGAAAAGACCATTCTTTTTGTCTTGGGCTTCCAGGATTAAGATGTGTTCATGGATTCGCGTGTTTTCTCATCGGAGGGCTCGACGTTTTCGGGGATTGTCGAGGTCAGTTCTTCTGCAAGGCTGGGTGTTGTTTTTTTGATCATCCGTTTCTAGCCCTAAGATTCCAGTCGTACCTTCTCAGCTTAGTACTTGAATCCCTTTTTTCAGCCATCACAAAGAAGAGTCCTCCGAAGAGTTTTGCTTATTTGGTCAATCAGTTCAACACTTATCGCCACACAACATGCACAACGAGGCCCAACGTTCAACACACCGATTTTGGCCCGGACCCGTACTCGCCGGTGTTCCTTCATTCTCGAGGAGATGAACTTCGGAGCTCCTTTCACTGACTCAACGGGGTGATATGACTCAACGTGGCCCGAAAGCCTCCCACATTTTCCACCACGGGCACACCGGACCCTGAAATTGGACGCACCAAGGCCTTCCGTGCGAAGTTCATCCGGGTATGCTGGATGATGCGGGAGGACTCCATTTTCCATGTACAAAAAAGCTAGCAACGGCTTCGTGGAAGCTGGGAAGCTTTGTGCCCCACAGGGCTCCAGAGTTTGGTTTGGATTGTGTGTTTTGAGTTGACTGCATGAGTTATATTGGAATATTTGTGTTTTGTTTCGCGCCTGGTGTCCGCGACATGGCTGACGGTGTGGAAGATGACGTGCTCAAAAAAAACACATGCTTATGTACTGTACGAAACTGGTGACAGATGATGCACTGTCCTGATGCCATCGGTTAGTTTCATAATAGTTACTGCAAATAGTTGTCATAGGTGGTGCCAAATCGGAACACCTTTGGTCTACCAGTGGGGCTATTCATGGTACTGTAGTTTGATGTTTGGTACTTTGTTTTCATTTCTGTGGCCAGGTCCCAAGGGAAGCCATGATCCAGCTCAGACAGATCATTCCTCAACTTTAGATGTCCAGTGCCCATAAGAGGCCAAGCCACATTTGGAGAAGAAAACCAGCGGCCACAGCGCCGCGGCCAACGTCGCACGGTGTTTCTTTTTCCAAGAACCTCTTCAACACCTTTGGATTGGCTTTGCATGGCTCTTAGTATTTTTGGCCGTTGAATGACAGGAAGTTATCAGGAATTGGATCCCTCAGATCAGCCCAAGGGATCCAATTTGGCAGAAGTTTAGGGCCTCGGCCGCTTTTTCGCAGTTTCAACTAGGGTCTTTTGCATCACGCCACTGGGTTTGCACTCACACCACTTGGAGTTCCTGTTCTGTTTGCACTTCACCTGGCTTGGGGGCCTAAGTTAAGGAACCCCTAGGGACGAACGAGAAAGCACGGACGGGTCAGTCCCTGCTCCTGACCTGGTTGGCGCGGAGCTGAGCTGAAAACGTGTCCGATGTCTCGTTCAGACAACTCGTTACACACCCTAGATGTGCATAATTGTTTTTATACTACCAACCGCAATCTGTCTAGAATCTTCAGATTTCACCCAGGAAATCTGGACAAACCCTGCAGATGACACCGATGACACCGCCTTCCCCAACGACTCCCCATCCGCCACGTCCGACTCTTTGATCAGTCCTTCAAACAGACCAACGCGCGCATTCCCCCAACGCGCCGTCCCCCCCAACGCCTCTGGGAGGCTTTGGCCCTGATCTTGCAAAAGGCTGAGAAGTTAGGGGATCTATCGAGGCGCGATGTGATCGATGCCGGTGCTGTTTGGGGTGTGGCAGCAGATGGAAGCAATGGAAGTGACATGAAGCAACGCCGGCAACGCCGCTTGATCCATGTCAATCAGCTGCAAGTCGAGCAGGAATTCGTCATCCGAATCCCATCGATGTTTCCCCAAAACATCCCAAAACAGAAAACCCTCTAACTCCCTCCTCTGAAGCTGCCAACCTACCTTTGCCCCCTTCCGCTTCAGGATCGCTGGGGTGGTTCACTTGGTGGTCACACAGACGCCCTGTGTGTCCTGCCTGGGTGCCATGGCCCAGTTTCGTGCGCTGATGCCAGAGGCCGGAACCCGGCGGAGGCAGCCGGAACCCGTCGGGCACGGCGGAGGGTTCAAGCCAGAAGTTGGCTCAGCCAGCCTCCTTTTTACCTATAAAAACACCTTGGAACACTAGTTAAAGATCTTTATAAATTGAATGGTTTGGTTTGGTTTATAATTGTTCAAGAACAGAAGCAAGAAAACATCGCACATGCACATTTGATGTTGCTCTCCCTTGCATGTTTCATTTGGGATGATTGGTCACGTCGCAAACCTGGAAATCGGTCGCCGTCGCGTCGCCGGGGCAATGGGAAGCGTTGGTCCATCCATCATGCGTTGGATCGATGAAAGAGGAGAACAAAAACAACATGTGCGTTCATCTCCCAGTCTGTTTCAGAACGGCCCAGCCATGGACATATTTCAGTGCTAGCGTTTCAGTTCCATGAGAATGCATTGACGGATCATGACAGATCAATTTTGCACAGTCAGTTCATGTTTGCCATGTCTGCGAACGGCACAGGTGATTGGAGTGAGTTGGTTTTGTGGATTGGATGATTGGATGATGTTTTTTCTGGTTCCTGGGCGAATCCCGCCACCTGCGGAACATGTTTTTCATTTTTACCGGTTCCAAGGGTGAGTTGGATGACCCATGTCTTTCGGAGGCCTTCTTGAGGGCGGCCCTCCTGCCAGGAATTTGATCGCCAGATGATGGACTTTGAATAGGACTAAACCGAGATTCACAGAAGCCCCATGACAGCCACTTCTAGCACCTATATATTAGCACATCAACTTCGTATTCGATCTATAGTACCTCTCCCTAGGGCTCCAGTCGTACCTTCGTTTCGGTTCGGTGTTTAAGGTGGGTGTGTATTCAGGGTCCAGAGACCTTCGTTTCGCTACGACTGGAGCCCTTAGGGTCTCTAAACAGACCTCGGTGAAGTGCTCGCCCTCTCCAGGTGCACCTCCACTGCCACTTCCACCGGCTCAGGCAAGAGCGGGAGGCCCGTGCCGCCGACCCGCGCCGTGGCGGGACAAACGCGCCGCGGAGAGGGTCGCGGGCGCGCATGTCCAGGTGGACGAGGTGCTCACGGTCCTCCGAAACCATCCGCAAAAACCGGGTCGAGAACCAGGATCCTTTGTCTTTCTTTTGGGGGGTTGGATAGGCCGGCCCTGGAGCATGTTTGAGGTGGCGAATGTTCTGTTGCCCCCCAGTTTGCTCGCCGAAGCACAGTTGATATCATGTTACCATGCTGGTGAGTTCCAGAGAAATAATTTACACAGCAAGCGATTCATTGCTATATCGTTGTGGAGTTGTGGGACGAGTGCGGTTCCGCTTGCCTCAGTGGCCTTGAGAATGATTAAGATGAGAGGGTGGTGCTTCAATCCAGGAATACAGTGTTTGTCGCTTGATATGGTCAGCTGGAAAATCTTGTTCGCCTTGGGCGTAGAGTGTTGAATATAACTCCCCAGGAGATGTTTACCCGGCGGGAGGTCATATTCTCCGCGCTTTTAGAATCTTTCAACAGCGCACTTCTATCACGCAGCTTGGACAGACCATGATCTACCATGTGCATTTAAGACATTTTAAGACCGCATTCTTGGACTTCATCCTGTCAGAATTTCCTGGGCACTCTTGCTCTTTCCAGGAGCAGGTGGCACTGCCCAACCTCTTCTTCTTCTTTTTCTTCTTCTTCTTCTTCTTATTCAGGTTGAGTTCTTTTTATGGTATATAGACTGGTTGAGCAGGATGAGGGATCATGAGTCTCCTCCTTCTAACCAGACTGCGTTGGCCTAAGGAGGGAGCGGCGCCGATCGATTTGCTCCATCTATGAGACGACCAGTGGCAGTAGCGAAGGCAAGCACACCCGGTGCTCCCTACGAACGAATGTACCAGTTCTTGGTCACCAAAAGGGTTCTTGGTGGGCGTAAGAAGGATTAAGCGCGTATTGTTTCATCATATATACCACACATGAACTATAAACATATCAATATCAATATTAAATATATAACTATAAAACTTTATAGTCTAGTATATATTATCTTTAATTGACACATACGCATTCGACATACGCGTATAGTACTCGTAGCGTATGTTTGCCCATCATACATGCCGAGTCCTATTCTTGACTTGGGTTGGGTGTTGGTTGATTGCACTCTAAGACCAAGTCATCAATCTCCGGTTGACATGGGGAGGCTTTTCTAAGGATATATTTCCCTTCCTCAGAAGGTGGAAAAAAACTGGCACCCACCCTAACCACCGAACCGAAACGGACGTAGGCAGGAGCCCATCAGGATTAATACTGTATATAAATCTATGGTCACCACAGTGGTCACTCGGTGCCGGTCTCGTAGCTTCTAGGCTTTTCGACGTCTGGAGATTTGGGTTTTCGTCTCCTCGGCCAGTGAACTGGCAGAGGGCGTCTGCCTGGATGGCTGCGCCAGGCCAGCCATCCTTCTCCGATGCTCTGGAGGTCTTCCGACGCATGCTCCGTGTGGTGAGCATGGAGAAGGACCGGTTCTTCTCGGCGGGAGGCACTACCCCAACTACCCTCGGTCCAAAGGCCAAAAAGTATCCAAAAGTGTTGGCAAATTGCGGCCTGCTTTTCCGAGCAGTCCGAACCAAGACGTATACTGGCGAGTTCCGCCGGTTCTCCCGCTTGTCCGCCGCCGGTTCTCCCCGCTTTCCTCCGAGCGAGACCGCCATCCCAAGTCCCAGACGCTCCATCGTTCGGGATCCAGTCGTAGCTTCGTTTCGAAGGTGGGACTGGGGTGGGTGCCAGGTCCAGTCGTGCCGTACCTGAGAAGGTACGACAGGATCCCGACCGGGCATGTTTGTCATAGGACTGCCGCCCCAGAAAGACCCCTCCTGGCACCACTCCTCCCAGACACGTGGTGTCTGGGACTGATTGGGAAAAGACGCGACTGTCCCGTGGAGTGCCAGCAGAGGTTGAAGAACCCTATATAGGCTATCCGATATCCTACAGGTACCCCACTATAGGGTCCTATAAGGTCACTTAACCTCTGTTGGTGTGAGTTGTTGGGTGTTGAATGGTTTGGGACTTTGAATGGAAAGGTCATGTGATTGTCACACCAGCAGAGCTATACCGGAAATCGGAGGACATCAGCAAGTGATATAGATGTTGTCCCCTCCAGAGAAAAGGCAAAGTTGACATCCATTTTCCCCGAACAGATGAGTTTATTTTACACTTTCACTATATGTTTCACTAGTCCTTTGAGAACATATGTAGGTCGCTTGAACGTAGGGCAAGGAGGGACTGGATAAGAACAATGCTGCTGCTGGACCGGCGTGAGTGGAAGCAGTTGTAGGACACGAAGGCCAACAGAAATGGCCTCTGACCGAGAACCTGATAGATGGAATCAATTTGTGTTTTGCCAGATCTGAACATTCTGAACATTGCGAGGATGTGACCCGTCCATTCCAAGACCTTGGGGGCAAACTGCCCCTGACAGGTGGAGCTAAGTTGTCCTGTCGGACCCTACCTGCCCTCATTCTTCACTTTTCCTGAATGGTATTGGATGGTACTGGCCACCCAATCATGGAATCAACAACTGGTCCAGTGATCACTACATTTGGCTCGTTGCGCATCAAGGATACTCAGCAACCTGAGACATCCTGAGAATAGATTTGCAGGCTCAGATTATATCAGCGACTTTCATGGTGATACACTTAGCTCGTCAAATCCAGCTAATTCATGCTAATATGAAGCATCATCTTAAGTGAACAAACCGCTTGCTGTGGCTAGGTGACACCATGAAAGCACTTCGGCAACCCATGTTATTGGCTGTTGCACCTCAGGCCGCCCTGACGTCCAGTTCCGTGCCGCGACACGGACCTTTACCACACATCCGCGGACACCGCACGAAAGGGACCGTGGGAGGTAAGGATCCGGAGGGTCCGACCACAAGGTCCAGCGTTGGACTTCCAGACTTGCGAGAATCTTTGCCCGAGAGCATCTTGGGAAGACTGGCCTTTCTGATGCAAAGATGGTGGACGGATAAAAGGACCGATCTGTATCCGCCCCATCTGGACATCTGTAATTCCGGGGGGAAGTTCGGCGTGGCGATCCCGAAGCCGGAGCTGGTGTTGCGGAAGGGCTTTCCGAAAGGGTCATGGGAGTGGAACATGCACATGTATGGCGCTGCGCTCTATTGGCAGCTCGCCACCGCGACGGGTGACTCCATGTCGGACACGGACTCAGAGCTGCTCCGCGGCAAGAGGATCTTGGAAGTCTCGTGCATGCGCGGCGGCGGGGCGAGGTATCTAGCAGAGGTCACTGGTGCTGGCAAATATGTGGCTGTGGATGAGAGGGAAGAGAACATTGAAACATGTAAATCACATGATCCATGGCCATCCTTGTCCTATGAGCGGCTCAGTGTCAGGGACTTCTCCACGAGGTTTGCGGCTGGAGACTTTGATGTCTTGCTCTGTGTTGAAGCAGGGGCTGACTTTGAGAAGGTGGAATTTGCTGAGCAGGCAGAGCACGTTCTGAGTTCGGGTGGGCTTCTGCTGATGTGCGATGTCTTCATGAAAGACCAAGTGAGGGAACTGCTCAGCAACTTAGAGCATCACTTTGAGGTGCTGGTGTGCCAGGATATAGGGAAGTGGATCCGTCCAACCGGTTTGTGTCCGATAGATATCGGAGAGACCGATGGGGTGGCTCCATGCACTTACCTGCGAATTGTGGCCAGAAAGAAGTGAACGAAAAGGCATGGCTCTCCGCAACACGGCACAACATCATGTGTTGTTGTTGGATGCCAGGTTTGGTGGGCAGATCCAGATTGCTCCGTCTTGAGAGGTAAATCTTGAAGGTTCTGAAGGCGATGTTGAGCGTTTCAGCCACCTCCGCCAGGTACTCGACACATGGTCATCCGAACTCGGGGAACATGCCATCCACGTAGCCATGATGGTCTCAGGGAGTGTAAACTTCTTCCTCAGGAGGCGGAGCTCCTGAACGTTTTGGGTGCTGCGGGCACGGCGGAAGAAGATCATGGCCTTCCTTTGCCCGAGTCGGCTCCTACGTTGCATGTTTCAGGTATGTTGCATCATGGCCGGCCGTATGTTTCGAGTTTTCGGGTAGTTTGTCAGTCATACCTATAGAACCTCTTCTTGGGCAGAATGAAGTTGGCGGAAATTATTGCTTAATGACGCTTCATGAGGTTCTAGGTAGTGTTTTAGGATGTTTTAGGTATGTTCCACTTCCGCTATCATGACATGAGCGGTTTCCGCGCCAGGCTTCCCTCCTCGAAATGTGAGCAAACGCCTCACCTCACTCGCCGCATGTGTTGGGATGACGTGAGAGCATTGGGTGCTCGGACCAGGTTGGGTACTCGCCTCTCCACCACGCTTGAGCGATCGGCGTTCCTTTTCCGCTCATTGCTGAAATGTTGACGGGGTGGGACCTCCAAGAGCCCAGGGCGGTGAACGAGCCTCCAAGATGTGTTTTTCTTTAATTGTGTGTTATTGATTTTGCATTAAAACGATGAACATCCTATGATATTGCATTGCAAATCCATTATTGTTCATGAAAGAAACTTCATCGTATGTATTAATGCTGATTAGAACCTGTACGCCGCCGTCCTCAGGTCATGTTACCATCTCCAGGGACCTTCCACTCCTTGATTGGCATGGCCATGGCGGAAGCTCGACAAGTCAGCGACACAAAGCGAGACACGGTTCTTCGCTGGAAAACCGCTGTCGAAGCAAATTTACCAACAGAGGTTCTAACCTGAACCAAGACCTGGGGTACCCAACTGGGATAATCGAAGAGTCCGGTTCTTGAACCATTGAAAAGTTGACCAGAGTCAGTTGGGTCGGTTGACCTGGAGTCACTGCAAGAGATCAATATGGAGTCCTGGAGTCTCATGGGAAGTGAATGGAAGTGACTTCAAGGAGTTTGTCCATGCTCTTCGTGGTCCTTAGCTACTTCTTTTGCTGCAGGCAAGAGGCTCTTGATCAATCAAACCCTTCCATGATCTGCCATGCCGGAGTGTCATCATATGTGTGATGTTTATAAACTAGAAACTACAGGGCCATTTTTGATTGGTTTTTCTACTCACTGAACCGTGCTTGGCTTTTTGCCAATGTGGAAGCAGGATTTCTTGTCACTGAGGAAGGTCGCGTGAAGGAGGCCATCGGTCTCGTGAAGTATCAGCGCTTGAAGGACGTGATTCGTCTCGTGACAGAATGGATCAAGGAATCTCCATGAGCGTCCTTCGATTTGATTAAATAGCACAAACTTTATTGTTGTAGTAGTAGCACTCGTAGTAGTAGTCGTCGTGGTGGTGGTAGTAGTAGTAGTGCTAGTGGGAGTAGGAGTAGGAGCAGCAGCAGCAGTAGCAGCAGCAGCAGGAGTAGCAGGAGTAGCAGCAGTAGCAGTAGCAGTAGCAGTAGGAATAGGAATAGGAGTAGCAGTAGGAGTAGGAGTGGGAGTGGTGGTGGTGGTGCTACTACTACTACTACTACGACTACTACTACTACTACTAATATATGAATACCGTAGTAATTGTTGTTACTAATTACTATTGTAAGTTAGTTGCAAGCTATTATTGGTTGTACTCTATACCATCCTTGCTCTCTACGTGTTCTTCGAATTTCCTCGACCTGATTTGTGCTCCAAGCCTGCCTGCCATGCCCCACACTTCATCAAATCCAGTCCTCTCTGGGGTCCCAGGAGCTGCCGGTGTTCGCCCGTTCCCTGGCCATGTTGGCGGAGGACCTCCGTGTGCCACCGCGCCTGGCGATGCGCTTCCTGCACGAGCGCCCTGGAGTCCATTGGTCGACGGGAATAACATGGGAGGCGAAGGAATGCTCAACCTCAAGGAGCCAACAGAGGTGGAACGTGACCTGAACGTTGACCCGGAAAACCTGGGGTACCGAACTAGGATAGTCGAACGTTCGGGTTCTGAGCCACCTTTGCTGGACTCACATGTCCCATCCGTCGGGGGCCGTGGATGCGAAACGAACGGAGGGGGCAGCACCGGCAGCCCACCCAACTCCATCCTGGCATGCAAATTGGCTGTATACACATCTATATGGCCCAAAGGTACATAGTGAGAGTTACCCTCCCTCCAACTCCATTCATGGAAGTGGAAAATAGACCGGATTGATGGCCTTTCAAGGGGCCATGTTCCACTTCCGTTTCACAGAGTGTTCATTGACTGTTCCATCTTGGTTTGTGAAGTGGTTTGATCTTATATCTCATGTGCATGTTCATGAGCCTCACAAGTACTATGACTCTGCGGCTTCTTTTCTGACACCTGCCTTCTGCCCCCCTGGGCCCCTGGGCCTCACGAGCCGGTGGAGCCAGTGTGTGCGACACTCGTCGACTCCCCGAGGAGCCAAGTGGCTGGACACCTGGCCTCTCGACGGTTGCTGAGCTTCCTCTTGAGGCGCCTGGCCAAGCTGGACCGTCCCGATGCCTCGCGCTTGGCCGACGCCTGGCAGAGTGAGGTCCCGACCGGGACACGCGCGCCCGTGTCCACCCACGGGGCATCGTGAAACAGAGTGGTTCCAAGGGCAGCTGGGCTTGGGAGCCCTTGGACAGGGCGAAGTCACAGCGACCGGAGGCAAAAGCGAACGAGAAAGGGCCTGTTGCCTCCATATGGGGGTGCAGGAAGAAACATGTATAATATAGACTCTTGATTAATAAACACCTCCCGTCGGGGCCTCCCGCTTGGATTGAAAAAGCGTTTGATAGGGGTGAAAATTTAATGAAGTTTATCAAGAGTCTCCATTACTAGCCGTTTGACCCATTTCAGAGGGCAATTTGCTTGTTCCTTCATGTTGATTTGTTTGCTATATACCCGTTCGAGCTGCCCCGACGGACACGAAAAAGAAATGCTAACTGCAGTAAGCCAAGTAAACCTCCCTAGGGATCCAAGTACCTTCTCAGAAGGCACTTGGGCCCTCCAAACCCACCCCAAACACCTTCTGAGAAGGTACTTGGATCCCTAGGGCCTTTTTACGGTTCGTGTAGGTTCGTGTATGTTCGTTTAGTTTCATTCGACCTTGTTCTTTAGGTCGCTTCGATTCACGGGCTTTGCTGAGCATTTGCTGAACAATCGTCACTCCAAACCTCTCAAATACCTTGATTAGAGGTTGATTATAGGGTAGAGTGACTGAGTACCCTATTATATAAAGGGACAAATCTGTGTCACTCTATACACTCAAAATCTGTTTGGGGAGTATACCATTGATTAGTACCAAGGGGTGCCCAATGGAAGCCTATAGGTAGTGTGGGGTAGTCCATTGGACACCCCGACAGGAGGGTCCTGGTACCTTGATTAGTACCTTGATTAAGGCTGTCCGGTGTTGGGGAAAATCCGAAAATCGCTGGCGATCCTAGGTCACCTTTTTGCGAAGATGCTGCCGCAAAGAGGTGCGGTGCCCGGAAGATGTTGAAACGATCTGGGGTAGAAGATTGGAGGATTTGGCAGCTTGTCCAAAGCACCTGTGGCTTCTTTTACAATGATGTTGAACTCAATATTTGGTTTTTCTTATTCGCCAGTGCCAGGGTTGCAACAATTCAGGGGTGTGGGAGGTTTGGAATGCTCGGTGATCCAGATGAAGCCGTCTCGTCTCGCTCTTTGAGCGATCGAACGGTGCAGGACTCCATGGGCGTCTACTACCGGCCCGACTACCCCATACCAACCATCAAGCGCTATCCTGGCTCTGGCGCCGCTTGGTGAAACGAAAGCTAAAGAAACACCCTCGGGTGGAGACACATATCATATCTCCTTCAACACCTTAAGAAGCCCAAAAGGCATTCCTGGGTAAGAAGCCCAGGGGACCAAGCAGCCCAGTCTGAAAAGAGACAAACTCGTTTATTGCTGAATCTGAGGTGTGTGAAAACACATGTTGAAAAAACATAATGCAAAGAGAGACTGTTACTGTTACAGGTCGTAGGACACCCCCAAGATAGGTAAATGAATAAGCAGTATATAGTAACCCCCCCGCTTACCTGGGTGGTCAAGCATATCCAGGCCTGGGGTTTTAGGTCATCAAACATGCTATTGACTCACCAATCCTAGAGGTCGCTCCCAGCGCTTGGGCACTCATGGACTGATCAACACAGCAAAGAAGCACCTGTACTTTGTGGAGTTCCTACTTTAGTAGGTTGGTGACCTCCAGATGTGTTAGATCAACGTTCATTATATACCCCGGGCATGACCACTGTTTTGCTAGGAAAGGCCCCATATTTGGGGCTAGGTGGTGGTCCAAAATGGTCTCCATCCCTACACTTATGCACTTATACACTTATACATGTGTGACACGGTGTAAGAGGTTGCAGGACGCCCCATGGCTCAAGATCTTTGGATGGATCCGGAAGAAGCTCTTGGAGTAAAGGAATAGTTCATCTAGACTCAGACCGCCACAGACCAGCAGAGGTTGAACCCTAGTTCGACTATCCTAGTTCGGTACCGCAGGTTTTCCGGGTCCGAACGTTCAGGTCATGTTCCCACCTCTGTAGGTACCCTCTCTTCACCCTCTCTTCGCCGGTGCGGGCGGGGTTTTTCCATGGTCTCAGACCCGGACCAACCTACTCGCCTCGTGAGACCCCCACGTCCCAGAGGCAACGGCAGGGTTCACGGTACCGATCAATGGGCTTTGACGGCGGTGACCAGCAGTCACGTTCGACGGGGTGCCGAACTTGGAGGATAGGGGACCAAAAACCACCCAACTCCATGTGACTCCTGGTAGGTCAATCTAGTCAATATCGGGTCATGAAAGGGAACTATACCTGTATAGATGGCCACTCTGGTATGGAATAGTGATATGCTGGTGTTATATTGGAACACTGCACTATCCCTTGGGCTTCTGGCCTACCTCTGAAACTCGGTTCGGTGGGCGGGCTAGTAACTAGTGGGTGGGTCCCGGTCGGTCCTTACCACCGGTCACCTGAGGAGGGACGTGACGTGACAGGAGCCCTAGGGAATTGATCTTCGTTCGTTGTCCTCCCTTGGGAATTGCTCGTCTTGTTCAGTTCGTAGCCGCCAGGAGCTACCAGCAGAGGTGGCTCAGAACCCGAACTAGGCTATCCTATACCAGGACCCTCCTGTCGGGGTGTCCAATGAACTACCCCACACTACCTATAGGCTTCCATTGGGTACCCCTTGCAGGGTCCTGGTAGGTACATGTAGGTACCCCAGGTGATGGGTCCTAGACGTTCAGGTCACGTTCCACCTCTGGCTCGTCCCGATCGCTCCCTTCGTAGCGATGCCCTTGGTGACGAGTAGATCCGCCCCTTTGGACCCTCCGACTGGGCCGACGGTCAGACGGTGGCCGCTTGCCTGGCCTTGGCTCCCAGCGAGCTGCTGCCACGCTGGGCACGTGCGCTGGGCATTTGGGCGCGTTGCAGTCAACCAGATCATGAGGAGGAGCGGCTGAGACATGTGAGCCACCTGAGCAGTGTCAACTACGTAGAATTCACATTTCATTGTGTGCGTGTCTTTTTGGAGTTGACTGTAGGTCAAGGTCAATGTCATTCCAGGTGATCGGATCAATTTGGAAGAGTGTCACACATCTTGTTTAAAGGTTGGAGGAGTATCCGCACACATTATAATCTAAACGTGTCGTCCTGGTTCTTCAAAGTGACCTTTTGATGACCTGGTTTGTTCGGTCACTTAAGCCTCCTAAGGGTCACTTAGGAACCTTCAAAAGGTCACTTTGAAGAAGCTGGGTTAACGTTCTATAAACAACCAACTTGCACTGTACTTAGCAAATGCTCATCACTTGCTGCTTGTTCAAAGCCTTCATGTCTCGAGGTGACCAACCCCCACAAACGCACTGCTCCAGCCCAGCATGCCACGCCTTTGGCCCCGCACCGTTCCGGTGCTCTGGGACCGACAGGATGCGGCGGTGCCGTTTCGAGCCTTGATGAAGCGCCTGACGTCGCACGGCGGATCCGTGGAGGTATCGGGTGGGATGGGCCTGGGGAGCGGAGGACGGGAGGGGTTCTGAAATGGGAGTAGAGTCCCCTCCCCCCCCTTCCAATAGAGGTTAAGTGACCTTGTAGGACCCGTCACCAGGGGTGTATAGGATAGTCTACAGGGTTCTTCAACCTTTGCTGGTTCCCATGTCATGATCTAAAATGGCACGCTTCTCAGAGCCCTGGCCCCTTCCACCACTCACCTCGTCCGAGGGACGCGGGACAGGAGACATGTCGTGGAGAAGTTCTCAGGGCTTTACAAGCGACCGGCTTGTTGGACCCTCAGCTGCGAACTGAGTAGCAGTGGACCAATGACCGGGAGTTGGGGGGTTCAACCATGTTCGACCATGTTCGACGTGTCGTGTGTGGCTGAGACCCGGAACGGGCGCCGAACGTATGTGACCCGTGTTCCCTTCTGGGTTGGGTGATGCCTTTGCACCTTGCCAGACGCTGCTTTCTCGATGTCTCATCGTTTGCCCACGTAGCTTCACTTGCATCGCTTCGGGATCAGGATTCCAAGCAGCCGTTCTTTCCACATCCAGCAACCATTCTTCTTTCGGCCGAAGCTTGGGCCGTGGGAGGTCACAGACACCCAGTAGGCTCCTGTTTCCCTATAGGACTCCCGCCATCTTCTCAGAAGGTGGTTACATCCCCCAAGCCCACCACAACCATCTTCTCAGGAGGTAGGCCAGGAGCCCTAGGGAAACATCATAACAATCACACCAGTAATCACACCATGTGGTATGTGCCCTCAGAAAAATCCGTGCCAGGAACGTATGGTGGCACAAAAGGTGATGGATGAAGATCAGGTGGCACGTGTTTTCTGAGATGATGGCCACCTCTATAGGCCCGGCCTCTGTCGAAGGCGGAGGGGAGGCGACTTCGACTTCGAGACACCGGCATCAAATCGGATCCCTTCAGGTAGGTTTGGATGATGTTTAAGCCCTAGGGATCCAGTCGTACCTTCTCAGGTACGGCACGACTGGACCCTGGCACCCACCCCAGTCCCACCTTCTGAGAAGGTAACTTGGATCCCTAGGGAAGTTAGACTCATACTCTCCCAAATTTGCCAGATTTGGGGGGGGGGTTGTCAGGGTGACCAGCAACTTGGAAGATGCTAACCGACCAAGCAGACAGGTGAGAAAACCATGTGACTGGCGTAATATTTTTGGTTCGCAACTTCAGCGTCACGCCGTGCTGTCTTGCTGTCTTCGGAACTGTTCAGGTTAGGACCGGCCAAGTGCCCGGAAAAGGCGGGTCCAGTGCTCAAGGAGAATCGACTGAACAAGGGGTGAGTCAGGTAGAGTCGAGTTAGAGCCGTGGTTGAGACTTGAAGAGGTTGATCTTGGGAATACTGTATCTTTGTGGTGTTCTCCTCCCAACGTCTCTTGGCCTGCCACCTGTGGCGCATTGGGATCACCACCATTCATCACCATTCATCCCTCCTCCATGCTGTGCATTGGGGTCATTCGGTCCTCCGGGGGAACAGCGCTTTGAGGCGGAGTTTCTGTGGATCCGCCGCTGCTTCGACGACAAGACGAAGAAGAAGAAGCAGAACCGGTGCTTGCTGGGTGAACGGAGTCCCCAAAGACTGTGAAGCAGTTGTTTGATGTGGTTGGTCCTGTCTGAAATTCCTTACTTAAGTCCTGCCTTGACTAGTCATCAGACTAAGAACTTTCAGAAAGTCCAACCTGGTCCACAGTTTTGGCACCAGAGCTGCTCCTGCCTCCCTATGTTTCAAGTCCTTTTTCTTCCTTTCTCCAGGCTGATGACCACCGCGCAGAAAAGCCATGATCCACTGTGGTGTGCATCGATGCGAGTTCGCGTGCGCCTCGCGCCGTGGTGTGCGGTCGCATCGATGTAGCGGCGCGGCGCGCGCCGAGCCAGTGGCCGTGAGAGATGGAGAAAAAGTGTGGTCGAATGGTGTGACCTGTTTTTGCTAAGCCGAAGCTGTTTTTGCGAGAGATGGTGATTTGTTAGTTTCCTTTGTGGGTCATAGTTTTTATTTTTGCCGGGAACTTAAGAAATTTTGAGCAATTCCAAGCAGAGAGCAGATTGGCTTCTTGCTCTGAGGGATGGCTTCGGTCAAGGAGTTCCACTCATCAAGCTATAATACTTTATGAGACACCGCGCCGCAGAGTTCACACGAATTTGCCATGGCTTCCGTAAACGGCGGGCTGATGGGAAAGGAAGCCCAGCTTTCTGATGTTGAGCGAGGTTGAACACGTGCCTAATTATCACCACATCAATGGAGAGTTTTGGAGATGTTGAGCGGTGTCCAAGACTCAATCTCCTTGGAGTGCGCAATTCCTGGTCAACACTAGCAGTCACTAGCATAGCATCCTTAATCATCCTTACCAATCCTCGAAGTCCCATGCCATGGCAGCACGCTGTCCCTGTGCTGCTGGGGCTATTTTTACCCACGCTTGGCGAAGCGAGCAGCTCCAATGCAGATACTTCGGGAATGGCCTTCACTGCCGGAAGATGGAGAGAGGGGCAGCCTGCGTATGCTTTCGGCGGTTATCATCCAATTCAATGAGTGAGGGCTAAAGGTGCTAAGATGTTCCAAATCTCTTTGCTTCAAGCAATTTCAACTCCAGGCCCGTTCTTGCACTGATTCTTGGATCTTCGGCCTGAAGAAGCCTCCTAGAAGCCACAACCAGCTCCATGCACCCAACCATAGGAGTCGGGTCTGTTGGCTCCACCGGAACTCTGGCCACCTCTTCAGATCAGTGGACCATTTGAAGGTCACCTCTTTTTGAGGATAGTGGCGCACCAGTTGGTGCACTCCACGAAAAACACAGAACAGGTTGCAATCTTCGCTTCACCTTTGCCACAAATCTCTGGCTGGCTCGGGAGGTCACCTTTTTCGCCATAAGTGTTTTGCTCGAGAAATCGGTGGAGTGTTCCGCCGCGACTTCAACGGTCTGCTCAAGGTGGACCGCTGAGATGTGTGTGTTTCAAGCGCCATTTTTGCCGAGGAGATGGTGAAGAGGTGGCGCATTTGAGCTGGGATGAACTGCAGCAGGTCCCTGAGGACAGCGGCCAGATGTGTTTTGTCAACGTTCTTTTGTGTTGTCTTGGCCTAAAAAAGGCGTGGAATCATTCAAGAATTAACTAAATGAATTGTTGGCTGAAGGTTCCGTTCTTTTCCCTATCCACCCTATCCGTCATTGCGTTTGAAACTCACCCAAATTCCAATGGTCTCATGACCTCCGCATGCGCGGCCTGGCTATGACGACCCATCAAACCCCCAAACCCGGTCGGGCGTGACGACACATCCGCTAGGACCCGTGGCTGGCCAACACCCGGCGGCAGATCTTCGAGCATTGGCCCAAGATCACCATGACCTCCGAGGCGGCCCCAACACCTCCCAACCAACGCGATCGGACGGGACGAGGTATCCAGTGACCTCAAGGTTCGGACGCGGAACACCTGGGGTACCCAACTGCGATAGCCGAACGTTCGGGGTCTGAGATGTTCTAAGCCACCTCTGCTGGTGAACACCTGTTCTGGGCGCATGGGAGACGCTGGACGCCACGCCACGCCGTCTCGGATACAGCGAGTGACCGGTGACCGAGTGGTTCCGGCGACCGGTTCTGTCAGCGAGAGAGCAAGCTGCATGGGGAGGGGACCCCACGCATTGATGTGTGGGTGAGGATGACTATAGATGCACAGCTATCCCCTAGAGTTGGATGTGACCACTGGGGTGTCAGCTTCTCGGGTCAAGTGAATGAATTTAGCGTTCAGTTTAGCTGATCTGATCCGTGAAGCCCGATACTGGTCCACTCCGGGGACTGCGTCGTGTCCTTGGGGCTTGGGTGCATTCCTGATTCTCCTTGCCTTCCTCATTGGCATTTGCTGCGGGGGCTGTGCTGTAGGCTGCATCCTCTCGAGGGGCTGTCAGCGGCTTGGTTTCTTGGTGGCGCGGCTTGGAGCTGCATATCTGGGGCCCGTTCCTCCCTCTGTGCCTCCCTCTGTGCAACAGAGGCTTGCTGAATACCGTCGGGACCTTTGACGAAAACACTGTGGTGCGAGGAGTGGGGTCAAACCTCCATCGACCTGAGGTAGCTATCCAGGCCCGAGTGTCATCGACGCCTTGCAGGAACTCCCCTTAGCCTCTTTCGTTTCCCAACTGCCTCTAAGGTTTTTGGGCTGCTCATTGGCACCAACGTTCGGACTTCGATAGGACCTGTGTGTGCTAAGCCTTTCTCACTCGGACAGAGGGAGACGCTTGATGACCTCTAGCTCTTCAGGGCTCAAAGGGCCTCCCTTGACCTGGGAGGAGGTCGTTGGCTTTGTTCGTGGAGTCGACGAGAGGTCAGTGCTCAGTCTCACATCAATATGGATCCCTTTAGAGGCCGAAGATCCCAAGAGTGCTGGTTCAGTCGCAGTAGGTGCATGTTTTCCCATTTTGGTTCGTTCGCATGGCCTTATGCTTTTGATCCCAAAGAGCGACGAGATTCAGACTGCCATTTTGCATGCCAGTTCAGAGAGTCAGGTGGAACCTGTTTTCTGGGACAGCGAGGTGACTGTAGTGTCTTCGCGCAGCAAAGTTTTGGGCCTGGCCGAATGTCAACTAGTAGATTTAGGATGGGAAGCCATCAGCAGTTTCTTCAAGTCCACCGTGCTCAGAGGAGCGGCTGCGCGAAATACTCGTGTGGTCCATTTCCAGGTTGGAGACCAGTCAGGTCGTCCATCCGCCTCTTCAGCCTTGCGACTAGCAGAAACCTGGTTGGAAGAGGGGGCTGGTTTGGACGCCGAGGTGACTGCCGACTATCACACAGGAGTGGAGTACGAGGAGTCAGATGTGCCTTCCCCGTCTCTTGCTGCAAATGGGGATCAGGGCGAGGTTGCCCAGCTGAAAGAGCGCATGCGCGCTTTGGAAGCAGAGTTGGCTCGTGCCCGCCAGCCAGTCATTCCGCCGGGACCTTCCACCGTCCCCTTGCTGCCAGGAGCCAAGCATGGAGCAGAACAACGCTTGTTTGGAACCCAGCCTGCCTCATCAGGACTCAATTCCGAGGAATTGATGAAGTTGCAACAGTTGGCCGGCACTCCGCCGGGTCGTTTAGGAGCAGCAGTTCAGCGTCAATCCTTAAGGCAGCAACAGATGTATCCAATGCTAGAGGGTCTCCATGCAGAGGCCGAGAAGGGTGTCATCGAAGATCCAGCATTGCCAGGACCGGAGTGGGACTTGGAACCGGAGTTGGTTGCAGACCCCATTCAACGGATGCTGTTGCTTCAGATGAAGCAGAACTCTGTTTTGATGCAACGCATGATGGCGCCCAAAGATCCAATGTCTACCCTGCTAAGCGGAGGGGGCAGCGAGTCCGGAAACAACTCCGGAAGTGCCAGAGGGTGCATGGCCAGAGACATGTACCTGAGGACAGTTCAGGATCTTCCCAAGGTCGGAGAAGTCGCTCGGTTGAATGCCATGCAGGAATTGGGCATCTCGATGGACAAGGAAGACAAGGACCTGATGCATCTCTACATAGAGCGGCGAGTCCCCTTGGCCGAAAACAAGATGTTAGCCCATTTTGCCGTTCTCGCAGCAGAAGGGTGGTCGATAGCTCATGTTGCCCAGGATCCCATCATGAAAGGGTTCATTGCCAGGATGCTGTTTTTCATAGAGCAGAGTGCCTTGGACAACTCCAGACTGGAGTTGGGGTGGCTGATGTCAGGGTTCCCAGAACCAAACACTCATCTGCACTTCTCGGTAAAGAGGACCTCGACTACATCGAAGGCAGAATTCAGACTCTTGGAAAACCAAAAGGCAAGCAGACCAGTGCCGGCTCGGAACTCGAAGACGGGGCAAAACCCAAACCGAAACCAAAGGGCAAGAAGGGCAAGAAGGGATCCGGGAAGGATGGGGACAGTGCAGACGCAGCTGCCAGTTGAGGGTTTGCGCGCCCGGAGAGCCTCAGTCTTTGAGTGAATGTATGAGCCAGCCGGCTGCTTTGGGACATTGCAGTGCCTTGGATCGTACTGAGGTTTCATTCGTAAGACATGGTAAAACCGATAAACGTGTAAACAGTCTTGATTACCATTGTGCCAGCTGCATCCCGCACCGTGCCGGTAGCGATTTTCCCGCGCTGGGGCCAGTAGCAGCGCCAGTTGAATTTCTTCTGCCTGTAAGCCTGCCTGCCGCTCCGCCGCGAGCATGCTTATCCCATCAGCCTAATCATGTTTCAGGTCTGGCAGGCTTGGGTGAACATGAAGTCATTTCTACCACAATAGGTGAGTGTGAAACCTCTACAAACACCTACAGCTCTACAGACCTGCGTGCAACACAGCGGGCAAAGCAAGACAGATTCATACTGCCTAAGGTTAACAAATCTAGTTCTTCCCCGAACAAGCCCCTTGCTAGCAGTAGCCAGACGCCTGCCGCGTCGAGTTCGGTTGAGTTTTTTGATCCATATAATTTGATGCAAGATTTTAATAGGGACTTCCTTAGCTCACGGACTGCGCTCAGCCAGTTTTGTAGGAAGAGCCTTGTTTTGCAATCCGTCTCCAATGTGCAGTCCTCTGCAAAGAGGACGTTGTGGCCTGTCCCTCTGCCCAGGTGGAGTTGGACGGCGTGCAAACACCTTGGACCCAGGAGACGCAAGCGGAAGCGTCAGCTGCAAACACGACACAGAGCTGTGCAGTTGGTGATAGCTTGTTTGAACTGGGAGACCTTGGGCCATGTGAGTGAGCCGCCGCCTGAGGCTTGCTTAGGACACCCCATTTCCAATGTTCAACATTTGATTATTGAACATATTGAAAGCTTAGTGGAGCATCATCTGTCTGCCGATGCCTTCACTGGGGATGATTTGGGTCGTTTCCAAGAAAAGTACCAAGGTGTAATTAAGCTTTTGCAGGAACTACCGTCATGTCGATTGGCGGGTGAGGACCTCGAGCAGAGTTTAATACAACTGCATGCCGAACTGGACCCCTATTCCAGCCATTTTGGTAAAAGAGGTCCTTACAAAGAAAATGAGTCGCCCAAATCAGACCACCAATGTCCTGTCGACCGCTCGGAGCCGTTACCTATGTCAGGGGCTCGACCTGTCGTTTCATCAAGGATCAAGTGGCAGTTCCCACCAAGTTTCGAAGCTAGTGCTTTTTTGGATGATCCAGTTGTAAAAGCTGCTTTTAATGATCCGGAAGTCATGCGTAAGCCTGAGCAGTTTTGGGAATCCTCTAGGCCTGCAAAGATAAACTGTTCTAGGTCTGAGCTGCTGGATCTTGCACAGAGATGGGACGACTTTGGAGCGTTGAGACTTATGCCTGCAGACCAAAAGCAGTGGGACGAAGCTGTAGGGATGTTTGCTGTAGGTAAGGATTCGCAATTCGATCGCCTCATTATTAACCCTCAGAACCTCAATGGTAGAATGTGGACTGTTAGCGAGTCAACCAAGACCCTCGCCCCTGGTTGTATGCTAGGCCTCTTACATTTGGAACCTTGGGAAGCTTTTCGGTTTTCCGCTGATGATCTTTCGGACTTCTACTACACCTTTCGGGTGAGTGAAAATAGGGCTAGGAGAAACGCCTTTCGCATGAAGTTTGAACCTCATGAACTTGAGCACCTGAAATGCTTCAAGGAGGAGCATGCCAAGCACTCTCATTTGTTGCTTTGTCTTTCAACTCTTGCTATGGGTGACAACCTTGCAGTTGAAATTGCGCAACAAGCGCATGGCAATGTCCTTAAGTTCTTGTGTGGTTCCATGAAAGATGAGGAAACCCTTAAGTATAGGCACCCGGTCCCTAGAGGTAGTTTTATCGAGCTCTTGGCTATTGATGATCATGTTGGCCTTCAGAGATTACCGATAAAAGACATCCCAGAGGAGCCTCCACTTCGAGACACCGAGATTTTCCAGTTAGCTTCAAAGGCTTATAGATCCGTTGGTCTTGCGCAGCAGAGTAAGAAACAAAAACGAAACTGCACTCAAGGGATCATTCTAGGAGCTGACTTTGATGGGTTAAAGGGTCGAGTGATGGCACCCCGAAGCCGCGTGCTGTTGTTGTCTGCCATTTCACTTGCCATAGTTTCCAAACGCACTTGTACACGAAGGCTGTTAAATTTAGTGGTTGGGTGCTGGATTCATGTTCTCCTTTTCAGACGTGTTCTGTTTTCAATCATAGACTCGCTTTTCACTGATGGTATGGAGAAGAAGCTTGACCAGGTGTTTTGTTTGAAAAGACAGTCTCTGAATGAGCTTCAAGTTCTGGCCGTATTGGGCCCTACAGCTCAGTGTGATTTGAGAGTTGGATACTGCAGTGATATCTTTTGCATGGACGCAAGTCCTACTGGAGGGGCTGTTGTTCGCGCCGAAGTTGGGGCTGCAGTGACTCAAGAAGTATGGCGTCACACAGAGCAGAAAGGTTTCCACACACGTTTGCAGAGTCCTGTGTCCCAAATCCTTTCAGAACATGGTATCGAGCCCGATTCCATGCACATGTTTCAAGATCATTTGAAGAGTAATGGACCCCAAGTGGAAGTTCCCCTCAGCCTCAGAGAAGGTTTCGTTTTCGATTGTATTGAGCTTTTTCGGGGAGCCGGAAATTGGTCTCTCGCTCATGAGCGCAATGGATTGCGCGTGCATGATGGGATTGATGTTGATGGGCGCTGTCTTAGGGTCAGCGACATCACCTGCGATGCGGTCTTCAGAGAGCTGGCAGCATTGGCGTGTAGAGGTGTCGTCAGAGACTGGCACGCTGGGGTGCCTTGCCCGTCTTTCGGCACTTTGAGACGGCCCCGAGTAAGGTCTAAGGAAATCCCGTTCGGCTTTGATCCCTCAGACCCCTACACAGCCTATCACAATAAGATAGCTCAGCGGGTGGGCATATTACTGATTTTGGCACTGAAGTATGGTTCCTTTGTCAGTATTGAGCAGCCTCGAAACAGCTGCTTGTTTTTGCTGAACGTGTTTCAAACCTTGATTCGTTTGGGCTGCGTAATCACTCATTTCGCATTTTGCTGTTTTGGTAGTGGATTTCACAAGCCTTCCAAGTGGCTTCACAACAAGCCATGGCTAGTGCCATTGCAGAGCTCCTGTTCGTGTCCCTATAAAGGAAATCACTTTGTAGTCGAAGGTACTTTCACAGAGGCGAGCATCAAGGATTTCAACGAAAGGTGTAGACCAGGTATTGAATCTGTGTATGAAACCATGCCGCAACCCGGAGAACGGGTTTCTGACTTCTCAGCTGTCTATCCTGTCAGGCTGGTGCAAGCCATGGCAGTGGGCAGCAAAGAAGCAGCTCGATCGGGCGTTTCCCCTGTGCCGGCTAGCGCCGTGGCATCCTCTGCACTTGAAGTCGGCCTTACGCTAGATGAGATTTCAGCTGTGCCTTTGCCTGAGCCTCCATACCCGTCGCGTCCCTGGTACGAGGACCCTGAATGGATAGGCGAAATATGTGAGTCTTTGCCATTTCGTGAGGTTTTTAGATTCAATTTTGTGAAACCCGGCCATATCAATGTAAACGAGACACGCACTTATAAGTCCTGGATTAAACACATGGCCAAATCTTCGAGAGATTCCCGATTTGTTGGATTGCTTGATTCCAGAGTGACTTTGGGGGCCAGTGCCAAGGGCCGCTCTAGTTCATTTTCAATTAGCAGGGTTCTGCAAGGTAGCATTGCGTATATCATTGGAGGTAATCTGTACCCGGGTGGTTTGCATTGCTATTCAGCTTCCAACAAAGCTGACGGCCCCTCCAGAGGCCGCCCTTTGGCCCCCCCGACGAAGGACAAGCCGGCCTGGCTTGCTCAACTGGCAGATGGAGACACTAGAGCGTTCGACATAGTAGTGAATTCTTCCAGGGTGGCCCGTGTTCCAGGAAGGTGGATCCGTTTTATTTTGTTAATCCTAGCGGGTGACATAGAATTGAATCCAGGGCCTTCGGGTCCACGCGCAAAGCCACGAGTTTTGCATCCTCGAGGGGCTTTGGATTTGACAGTGGGTTTTGCTCCTGAGACAGCCTCTCGCATGCGGCAGTGCGTGCAAGCTTTTGCTGAATGGGTGAAAGATACTTGCGGATTAGATTTCGATAGACTAGTGCAAGACCCTTTGGCTGTTGGATGGGCTCTGAGGGCCTACGGTGTGCAACTCTTTGAAAGGGGCTTACCTAGGTACTTATTCGTTTATGCAATTACAGGGGTGGCCGAGCAATTTCCTCAGTGCAAATCGTCTTTGACCTTAGCCTGGCAAATCGACCGAAAGTGGCAGATCCATGAACCAGGTCAGTGCAGGGCTGTCCTTCCAGGGATAGCTATTCGAGCTGCAGTCACAGTTGCAACATTTTGGGGCTGGCATATTTGGGTGGGCATCGTACTGCTGGGTTTTGCAGCAATGCTTCATCCGAGCGAGATGATCGCCCTCACAAGAAAAGATCTTGTTTTTCCCAAAGATGTTTGCTTTGATATGACCTGCCTCTATATTCATCTGCAGAATCCAAAGACAGCTAGATTTGCTAGACGTCAGCACGGCCGAATAGATGATGCTCAGATTATCCATTTGGCAGAGCAGATCTTTGGCGACTTCCCTTTGCACTGCCGATTGTACAATGGTTCCATCAGCCTTTTCAGAAAACAGTGGGACGCCGTCATGGCCCACCTAGGTATACCCCACCGACAAGCTCAGCGCGGAGCAACTCCGGGCTCGCTGCGCGGCAGCGGGGCGACTTTTCTCTATGGCCGCACCGAAGATGTTCCTTGGATTGCATGGAGGGGCCGATGGGCTCGAGTGAAAACCCTCGAGTTTTATCTTCAAGAGGTTAGCGCCCAGCTTCTTTTGCACGAGCTGCCTGAGAGAAACCGCGTGCTAGTGCACACACTTGGTGATGCTGCGTGGCCGATCCTATGCGAGCGCTGGCATCTAACCGAGCGCTACCCTGAATTTTACGGAGCTTGCAGCGCAGAAACTGAGAAGCGGAAGTGAGAAGCTGGCCTGTTTAGAGTGGTGACATCACCTGTGCATAGCACATTTCTGGCAGTGCTGTCTTAGATAGCTGAGCAATGCTAGCATTGGCCAAGTTGTGCATAGGATCGGGCAGCTTGGTCGAAAGGAGACGAAAAGGGATGACTATAATATAGATAACTGCATAAGAATGGACTTTGAGACCACTATCCTTGGTAATTATCAAGTCATGGATGTGTTGGAACATGTTTTTGCCTTGTCCGTTGGCATTTAGGTGTTGCTGAAGGTGAATGTGAATGTCACTGTCACTATTTCCTGCATAAAGCACCACCACCACCAGCAGTAGCAGCAACAACAACAACATATGTAAGCAGTTGCTTCCTCCCAAGGCACGGCTGGAGAGCACAAAGCATGTGCCTCTCCACCAAGGCACGGCATGCCACACCCCACGATGTGGGCTCCATATGCCAAACATCATGTTCAAGAAAACACCCCAGAAGTGGAAGACACCCATCCAACATGTTCAGGAAAAATCAACATCACCAGGATCGATGTGTCCCGAAGAGTTACGCCCAAGAACGATCTGGAACGACGTGACTCGGACCCTACACGCTTTGCAGGGCGTTTTTCGAGCTCAATGCATTAATCCCTAGGGCTCCCTTCGCCCGCCCCCTCCTGAGGTGAAGGGACTGGGTGGATGGTCGACTGGGGGGTCGAAGACCACCCGTCACCGAGTCCTGGGGCGGGCCAGGAGCCCAAACGGGATGAATCAACATTCAAGAACACATGCCACTTCAGTGGAACCCAAAACCGGACTCACGTCGGCTTCGAGCGCTCACGTCTGTTCGCTCAGCGGCCCGAAAGAGCGGCGTCCCGAAAGCGCCGTAGAAGGCGCGGATGAGAACCACCACCCTGTTGTTAACCTGGATTTCACAGCAACGCATTGCGGGTGATGTGGCAGAGGCTGGAGCATCTTGGACGAGAAGGGTGTGTTGCAACCAGGCGGTGTTCCAGGACCCGAAGATGGTGGAAGAAAGACATAGGGTTCCACTTGTGTGGGGACTATCCACCGATTTCCACAGCTATTTGCAGCTGGGCGACTGTTCTGCAGCTGGGCGATGTGTTCGATCAGTCGTGCAGCAGGCGGCACCCGACCTGTTCGATGTGCCCCTGAGATGTTGCTGTGTTCAGCGAAATCATCACAGGGTACGTGGATAGCACCACCTGTATTCGGGTGTCATGCAAGATTGGGGAATGCCATCCACAAAAATATGATGTCAGAGTTTGAGCCCTAGGGATTTCAGAGAGTGCAAGTTCTGTCAGGACGTTGGATCCAATGAGCGGTTAACCGGTCAACCGAAGCAGAAGCGGTCGACGCTTTGCCCGGTGACTCATGTGGTTTTGTAGCTGATCCCTCGAGAGTTGACGTCGAACTGCGATACACATTAGTTTCACTCAGGTGATCCATAATCAATACTTTGGGTTTGTCCGAACTGACCTGTAACAGGACCTGTAAACAAGAACATCACTACTCTTGGACAAGGCCTCTACTAACCCATCATCATCCTTTGTTACAGGTAAAAAGGATAGACCCAATCAATATCACTGGTTTCTGATGTGTCCCCCTGCACTTGTTCCATATGATCTCTTCAGATGCCTACCCAGGATTGGATCACCTGCAGGTCACCTGTTGGGGAGTATGGCTTTCTGAAACTCAATATCCAACCTGTGGAACAGTTCCATCGATGCCGAACAGATGTGTTTGTCCCTCCGAGGTGTGGAGAGGAGGCCACGCATTGTTCATGAGCCTCGTGAGCGACATGCGCGAGCTCAATTCCGTGATGGGTGTGTTGGAAACGGCGATTGGAGATCGTGGTCTGGTTGGAACGCTCAAGATTCTGACCGGAGGTGAAGGGATCTTTGGAAGAGTCGTCCTTGATTGAAAGGTTTATGATTCGTTAATGATGGGGTTCCCCCTCACAAAGCGGGGGAGGGCCAAGAGCCCTTTGAGAGGGCGTTTGCATGCGAGAGCGATTTAGAGAGCCGCGTGTCTTTTTCGTGGATGTGGAGGTCACCTGTCATCATACCAGCCTCTTTGAACCTGATAAGAGCCTCCATGTGAGGAGCGGTGTGGTTCAAGAAACACCTCATCGCCTCAGGTGCGAGTAAAGAGCGATGGAGCGGGAGGTGTTCCTTCCTTGGAATTCCTTATAGACAAACATGAAGGCAAAAACCATGCCGCGGCGTAAGTGACACACTAACAGTTGGTGAACCCACAGGCCTAAGGCAGCAAACTCTGCACAGTATCTCCCTGACGACAATTGGTGACACTACTGAAAGGATGACGTCCTTTTTATATATCTTTATATTATAGTGATGCCCAAATAATAGATGGAACATGATAGAACCGGTTTCCAATACGATGCATTTGTATCATTTGTAGTGAGAAAAAACACATGTCTATCTATTTGGGTGCGCTTTTAGAACTTATTGAGTTGCTCATGTCTAATACCCAGACACTCCATGTATGCCATATTTGCCGATCAGTTGGGGTGGTTTCAGGGGTCAATGTAGACATATATGGCAGTCCCATGGAGTGTCTGGGATATATCATCCTTTCGCATGAACCTCTGCGGATGAGGAAGTTCGCGTCCGACTACCTGCAACGGATCTCTAGGCGGCCTCGGCGCGCGACTGGGCGGAGAGCAGGAGAGCAGGAGAACGGGCGGACAGGCGAAGAAAAGGAGACAAGAGATGAATATGGTAGACTCTTGATCCATAAACCTTCCCATTTGACTTGGAAATCCTCTTCATGTGGGGGATTTATGAATCAAGAGTCTACATTAGGATGGAATAGGTCCACCTGTCGGTGACAGGAAAAGCTCTGGACCAAGTACTGCCCAGACGCTCTTTTCAGAGTCCGACCGGTCTCTCAAACGCCCTCCATATAAAATCATATGAATACCCAGACACTCCATGTATGCCATATATGCCTACATTGATCCCCCAAACCACCCCAACTGATCGGCATATATGGCATACATGGAGGAGTGTCTGGGATATATGGGACCGATCCCTCCATAGGATTTGGGTCCAGCGCCCGTGCCCAAGCTCCAAGCACCCCAGAAGGTACCAAAGAACCTCAACACGAAGGTCAGTGGAGCCGGGTCATGAAGTGGTATGAGGTTGATTGGCGATGAGGTGGGGGCATTCACTTTGCTTGAGAGAGGCTGCTTTATCCAATGATCTTCAGACATGATGGCCTGGAAGTGGCAGGGTATCTCAGGGTTGCTCCAGTGCCAGTGGAGCTCCGCAGACACGACGCTGGGGAGTTGCTTTTTCGGCTTTGCTACTGTTATCCTGGCTCGTTTCCTTTGCTTCTGAAGGCATGCCAGGCAAGCAAGTTGGGTTTAATTTAAGATGGTCTAGGATGTCTAAGTTCAAGATTTTGATATTTAGGTCTACAACTGGTTTGCAATCCAAATTCTAAAGATTTCTAAACCTATAAAAGACAAATCATCCCAAACCCAATCCAAACCCTTCTTCCAAGCATGCATTTTTGCTGAAGCGCATCCAGGTTTGGCTGCTGGACAGCTTTGAGGGCTTTGGCCATAAAAACGAAGGCATCGACGAGGCTCCCCTGCGACGGGCTCGAGCACGCCGACGGCGCTCCAAACGTTTCTAGTTTGGTTTGAGGTGGCTGTAGGCTATAGCCTATGCTGGGTGCTAGCACTATAGCATTTCTATGATCTTCTATGACTCAACCTCTCAGCTGCCTTTGGATGCAGCGCTTCCTGCCCTTCCTGCAGTCGTTTCCTCCTTGGACTTGTTTCCTGTGGATTCCGTCAGTTCAATCAAAGAGCGCAGGTCTTCAACCGTGTGAACAACAGCGCTGAGGGCTGGTACTCTGTGATCTCCTTGTTTCGCGGTTTGCAGGTGCGAGGTTTCGCTCAAAAAAGAGTACGTGAATCATGTGAACATTGGAGCAGCCCTTCGTGTATCGCTTTGACGGTGCCCCAAACGGGTTGCAACATACGGTGTGAAGTTCCGGTCCTCTTCAATGCCAATGCGTAAACATAACCCAGACACGACCTGTTTGGGACTGCCAGTCCGGACTGCCGAGACTTCCGGCCAGGGGTGGTGCCAGGGGGGTTCAATGTAGGCATATATGGCAGTCCCATGGAGTGTTTGGGTTATGTTTCCTGGTCATTTTTCATGTCAGACCATTAAGGGTACAGACCACGGCCTGAAGTGATGATACATTCGATGATGTTCGATGCCTTTGAGAAGATTTTTTCGGCGTGCTTGTATTTGTCGCACCCATTCTTCATTTTGGATGCCACACTCTAATTTATAAAGAACACATCACATCAAAGTGGACGATGGCCATTGGGAAGACCAATTTCCTCTAGAAGCAGGCGGCGAACAGCGGGTAGTCGCCATCCCTCCAAAGACCGCCTGATGGATTATAATTACACTATTTTTTTGGGGGGGGGTGATGTGTTCGACACTTTGATGTAGCTCTTATGCTCCAACTCCCTCCTGAGGTTCGGTGGGGCTGGGTGGGTGCCAGGGGGGGGTCGTATACCGAACGTTGTGAGCCTTAGGGTACCAGGACGGTCCAGTCGTAGCAAACCTGAAAACGGGGCACTGGTGGAGTCTGTGCAGGTCTTAGACTCACGCGTGGTCTTCGTGCGCGGCTTCTACGAGGACCGCCACTCCCCATCTCCGTCTCCAGCCGCGTCTCCAGCGCTGGAGCTCAACAGTCCGAAGGGAGACTGCCTTCGTGTTGCCTTCAAAATTGAATAGGCGTGCGAACATATGCGAACTATTAAGTCAATGCACTGCTTGGCGGTAGACTTCTGAAATGTCAACTCCCCGATATGAAGAGGTCTTACGCCTCCACGTTTTGTGGATGTTTCCCCTAGGGCTCCAACCATATCCTCAGAAGGTGGTTAGAGTTAGACCCCCCCAAAACCCACCCCAACCACCGAACCTCAGGAGGGGGCGGCCAGGAGCCCTAGGCCCTAGGGTTTATTCATCATCAAGGGTCTACACCTGATATGCCCACTTCATCCGCGGCATCTATTTCCTCGCAGGAGTCCCTTTGGAAGGTTCCACCCTTTGTCCGCCTGGCCTTGCTCCGCGTAGACTGCGCTCCTGGGGCACGGAACACAGCGGCGTTTCGCCGGGCGCGAGGGACGCTCCCTGGAATCATCATCCCCGAAAAATCCCGTCGGAGCTCCGAGAACGAAGGTCCTTGGACGACGGGTTCCAGCATCGAAACCTAGGTATGACTGGAGCCCCAGGGCATGGAGTTCATTGTTCATCACCTGTTTAATAGTCTTAATATTCGTGGGCCATGCCATCCACGTAGCCATGGTTCTTCCAGGAGAGTGTATATGTCCTTTGTGTTTGGGAGGGTTGGTTGACATCATGTGACATAGAGACATAGGCATGTCGAAGATGTTCCCTTCCACTTAAGGCACTTGAGGTCATGGGCTGGTTTGGAGACGTTTGGAGGGATTTAGTCTCAACAAAAGGTGTGAGCTTGTTCTTGTGTGTAAACAGGACCATAATGGTTCTATTTGCAAATCTCCTGGGACTTGGGCAAATTTATCTATTGATAACCTGCTGAAGCTCACTGTAGATTAGACCTATAATAGCAAGGTTAGACCTCACAGGTGGCCACCTTTTTGTTGGCAATGAAGATGTTGACCGGCGTTGACCGGCCGAAGAACAGACCTCTACTACACCCCAAGACACTTATAAGACTTAATTAAGAGGTCCGTAAAAAAAGGCCAACATTCCCGTGTTGGTCCGTATTTGTTCCATGGTTGAAATGTAGATAAATTTGGAACATTTGTGGACGTTGATGTTGATATTTGCTGGATGACGCGTTGTTGGCTTTGCAAAGGGTTGATGTGTTCTTTTGGTATACAGGGTCGTTTACAGGCCGCCCATGCAACACAGTCCAGCTGCTTTGGTTTGGTAGTTGCACAGTGTAGAACAAGAGGAAGTCGACCACAACTGAGTGGCTGAGGGCTGCTTGGTATCCTAGCGCTAGCATAGGCCTAATGATAGGCTACGGACCCCCTAGGCTAGCGCATATCATGGGCCTATCCCTGGGCTAGCCCCCAAGACACCTGTGCTGATTTCTGACCTTTTTTGGTTGAAAGCTTTAGAGGCCACAGATGGCCACAGGCCACAGATGGCCACAGTCCCACATCAATCAATCAGATCAATTCAAAAAGCCGCTCCTTGGATGCCGCATGGTGCCGCTTTTGCTGAGGATATGTACTCGAGCATTGCCCAAGTATCTTGGAAGATGGATATTTGCATGGGTCCATATTATCGCTCAAGGGTGAGCTTTGTCCATGTGATGGTATTGATCCGCAAGACTGAGTGAATTGAGAGCGACACATGTTTGACCTTTCTTTACCCTGGTCGCGTTTCCTACCAGCCTTAGGTCCTGTGCTATCTCTACGAGTTTTGGCGGCAGTTATGTTCCGCCACCAAGTGCGTGCCCATGCAGTACTATATGATAAGTTCATCATAACAACATGCTTGTGGCCGTGCATGCATCACCAAGCGGTTACGCCGGAAACTCACGCCTTCAAACATTTCAAAGAACGACATGCACCACCTCAATCTGGGGGTCTGATCAATCTGATTGGTGGGCATTCCGCAGGGTCTGCATGTCCAACTAAGGACTTGATCTCCGTAGGAGCGGATGCGGTGTGTGGGGGCGATGCGAGGAGGCTTGAGGCGGATGCCACCCCAAACATACAACAACAGCCACAACGACGACGACGACCTTGTTGGAGGTTGTGACTCCTTATTGCACAGTTCCCTTTTGCTCTCAATCCCAACTGGTGTGGCCAACCGGAACGGCCTTGATCCACCGGAGCTTCCAAGACTGACTCGGCGCATGACGGTCTTCGTTCCGACAGGAGGCTTCGTGATCATTGACGACTGGGGCACCTGGCCGTCGGCGCAGTTGGCCGTGATTGACTTCTTGGAACAGGGCCTGGCAACTCGACGCAGAAGGATCTCTCTTGGGTTTGTCCCACTACCCAGACTCGACCTGTTTGGGACTGCCAGTCCGGACTGCCAAGAAACGGCCAGGGGTGGTGCCAGGGGTTCAATGGGTCGGCATATGTGGCAGTCCCATGGAGTGTATGGGCTAATTATGTAACTAGAGCCGTCGCGATCAAGAATATATAATTTGTTAAGCGAAACCGTCCTCATCCGCTGAAGCCTGGTCATGGTATATACCCCAAGATCTCTCTCTCCAGGGGCTAAGAGGACTGGTCCAGAGCTGTTGCTGGTAAGGACAAGGACGGCATCAGTTTGAGAGACTGGTCTGGCCAAATGCAAGTGCGAGTATCTAATCTGTTAGAAGTTACAGTAGAAGGCTTCAGGGGTTGGTTGTTCAAATGAGATCCTATGGGCATAAACAACCGAGATCGAGAAGGATTTCAGCATATAGCACCCACTCCATGTCCTTTGAGGTGCTTGACCTGGGTTCAAACGCGGCAGTAGTTATGCATGCATATATATTCCTCCCAAGGCCCAAGACGTCCGCGTGAACATCCGCAAGACCGGTGCCGATGCCATGCTCGAGGCCGGCCGGGTCGCTGCTATCGTCCGAGTCGATCCGAGAAAGCCGTACCAGGAATCCTGTGGAGAGATCCGGACCCGAAGCAATCCGGTTTTGAGGGACTACTCCAGACGCTGTGAACGGAGCATTTGGTTGGACAATACATGAATGCGATTTCTCCCGGCTGGTAGTTGTTTGTTTCACAAACATATTGGCAGGGGTGGCACTGGACATGTTTCTTTCGGGGAGGTCCTCGATCCAATGAAGCACTTGCATGGTTGGTCATTTGGGCAGAACATCGCCAACAGCTAGAGTGTTCCAAAACATGATCCAGGTGTTACTTGTACGAAAACAACACTTGTTGTACACAGCCCGCTCCGTGAGTGTTCAGTCAGCCCGGACAACCCGTCCGGTCCACCAAACCGATGGGGAAGAAGGTGAGTTCGGTTCAACTCTTCCAAACACTTTCCCTAGAGATCCAGTCGTACCTTCTCAGGTACGGTGATTGGAGACACTCTTATGTAGGTGCCAGGAGAGTCCAGTCGTACCTTCTCAGGTACGGTGATTGGAGACACTCTTATGTAGGTGCCAGGAGGGTCCAGTCGTACCTTCTCAGGAAGGTACCACTGGACCCCTAGGGTTTGGGGACCGATCCCGCCAGAGCATATCTACTGTTCGCCTTTGTTCGCCCACGAATCGCTTGTTTCACCAACCTCTTTCGATTCTCCAAGGAGTTGAGCAGGGAGAATGGACATCTTCTGAAATGATGTTCCACCTCAAGGGCCCTATCAATCAAAAGTGTCCTTCTCCGACATCGACGCCGAACGAGAACCCACGTCACTCAATGACTCAAGGAGGGTCCAGATGGTTTCCAGCTTCTTCAGTTTGTGACCTAACTTGAAGGTTCCTAATGAGTGACCCTGCTCGGAGGCTTAGACCAAACCAACCAGGTTATCACGAAAGCTAGCCTTAGCTAGCTGGAGTTGCTCTTGCTTTAGCAAGTTAAGTGACGGGGTGGACGCACCTCAGAAACCTCAAATAATTAATTAAATCAATCTTATGGACCCCCCCCCCCCCCCCC